CTGTGCACAGCAAAGCCAGATGCCATCTGGGCCCCCTGAGACCTGGCTGCTGATCCCCGGCCACTAGGACGAGCCCCGGGGGAAGTGTATGCAGCCAAACAGTTCATCGAAGTGGAGAAAAGAGCGGAAATGCCTGTGACTTGTGCGGAGTCAAGGGGCAGAAATCTGCAGTGCTTCTCACACGCAGGTATGAGGGTCACGGGGCAGAACAGGCAGTTTGTCATCTGACCTCTGGGGAGAGGTGAGGCTGCAGAGTCCGCGCTGTCCCTCGCCTCACTGGGGCTGGGGTCTGATCCCCAGCAATGACTGCCGTCAATGTGCTGAGGGATACGGCTCTGTGGGGCATCACCCTGAAGTCATCTACAGGCGCTGAAGGCAGAAGGAGGTGGGAGAGGGGAGGGGGACAGGGCCAGGCCCCCAGGGGTCTCCTCATGCACCTGGAGCTCGGCAACTCTGCTGCCCCTCTGCTGTCCAGATGGTGCCTGGCTCACCGGATCTCCATCCCTGGAAAGGAGCAGAGGAGAGGTGGCCTGGGGCCCCACAAAAGACAGGATGGGACGTGATTCTGTGTAGTTACGTGAAATTCAGTGTCAGGGTCCGTGGTTTACTGGCACACAGCGTGTTCATCTTTGTCTTGTTTATGTACGGTCTGTGGCTGCCATCATGTAGTTGAGAAGCTTCAAGAGGCTGAGGGGCCCACAGAGCCTCACAGACTGGCTCTCTGCCTCTCACGGGAAGAGGCACAAAGCCCGAGTGGAAGGAGCAAGCACAGCCCTGCATTGTTTGCAGAGCAATTCCACAGGGCCGGGCGGCTTCGGCCTCTGTGCAGGCATTGCACCTGGTCTTGTCCCGAAAGAGCTGGAGCCCCTGGGCAGCTGCAGCCGTGTCCCTGTCCTTCCTCAGCGTAGCGGATGGGCAGGTAGCAGGACTGGGCCTTGACTTTACCCTGAACCTGGAGGCCACTCCCTGCCCTGTTCACGCAAGTGCCCGGGGGTGGGGAGGGACCCATGTGAAAAAGTGCGTTGTAGTGTAAATGTTTGCTACTGTTATTCACAAAAGGGACTTATGTCATTGATCTTGTCTAGATTTATGCCATTTTCTGTTACAGATATAAACTCAAAACTGGGCTGTGCAGGGTCCAAAACGTCCCCAGCCTCACAGCCCCTCCAGGCATCCCTTGCCAGCTTCTCACCAAAATACCAGTGAAGAGTCAAAGGAGCCACATTCCAGATGGGGGAAACAATGTGATTAAAACACGAGGACTAGATGAGCACAATGTTTGTATTCACTGAGTGAAGAAATACTCTCTAAGCATCTCATAAAAGCAGAAATTAAGGATTCAGAGTTAAATTAAGAATTGAAACTTTTTTGCAGGTCTGAAAATAGTCCACAAACAAACTGGGAAGGGAAATGGCTGTGGGAGGCAGGGATTTCAGGCTTTTCAATGCACGCAGTGTGTGGTGAGGGAGTCAACGCTTTGAACTGTGCAGAGACCCAGAGGATGGGTGCGTGGCTGACCTGCCAGATGTCCCGGCTCCCTCACTTGCCACCCAAGTCCCCTGAACCTCTTTTCAGGGCCTGCGCGGTGGTGGCCTGGAGTCCTGGGGAACCGTGTCCCCGCCCCCTCTTCACCAGCAGCCTCAACAATGCCTGATGGGGCTGAGGTCAGTTGCTCCACTTTCTCATCCTTGGGAGGAGGCACCTGGCCCAGTGGGACAGCTAGTGGCTTATAGGATCCCCGCATTGGCTGCCTTCTCTTTCTGGCCCTTTTCGCCCTCCCTAGGTGGGTGGTGGTAGTTTAGTCGCTAAGTTGAGCCCAACTCTTGCAACCCCATGGACTGTAGACTGCCAGTCTCCTCTGTCCATTGAATTTTCCAGGCAAGAATACTGGAGTGGGTTGTCATTTCCTTCTCCAGGGGATCTTCCTGACCCAGGGATCTAACCAGTGTCTCCTGCATTGCAGGCGGATTCTTTACTAACTGAGCCACATGTTAAGCGGTGGCTTATTTTCCCAAACAAGCCACTTAGAGGCAATCCTGGACTCAGGATCTAGTCCTTAGGGAATCAAACCAAGACACACCTCTAATTAAAAGTAGGAAAGAGGTCCACTACCAAGGAAACACAAGTAGCCAGGAACTACGTGAAAGGTTTAGGAATCCAGAATTACAGATTGTAACTGGGAAGTGTGCAGCCTCCAGAGGGTGACAAAGCAGAGCCAGAACTTGTCGTCCCCACCCCTCTGAGATGTTTTGGGGCCACATGCACGTGATCGTTGAACACATGCATGGCAGGAGTTCTGCTTTGTCTTTTACTCTAAAAGACTAATTAGGTAAGTGTGCAAAGAGATCCAGGCATGCACAAGATGTTTAAACCCAAAACAAAGAAAAGCAACAAACGCAAATGTCCAATAACAATGGACAGTTTGTTTAAAGCATCATTGATATCCACAGTGAAATACCACATAGCTGTTAAAAATGATGACAGCATTCTCTATTTATTGTCATAGAGAAATATTCATGGTACACTAGGTGGTGTAAGCGGGATTATTAAATAGTGTGTAGAGCAGAACCATTTTATGCATAGACGCTGATGGGTATACTTTCTGCTCAGGAGAATGTCTAGAAAAGGAGAGAGCAACCGACTGCTGTTACTTTGGAACTGTGGGCGGCGTAGATCACTTTGTTTTTGCCTGTTTTCTCACTTTTCCGTGATAAATATGCATTAGTTATATGGTTGGAAAAAACCTGGCACCTGCTTCTGCCAGAGCATATTTGCTGATTGCCGAACACTCTGAGAGCTTACACGCTGTTCACACCTGTCCTCACCAATGTGTGGTGTGTACCCAAATGCAGGGGTGTGGTCTCCACCCAACCACTCTGACCCGTCAAGGTGGGAGCAGGAGACGCCCCACACACCCGCACCTGAGGCCAGGTCAGCTCTAACCAGCTAGACCCACTCAGGGGGCTGCTTTCCCCAGGGGTAGCTGTGCTTTCAGCCTGGGCAGAATCATTTTTCTGCTTCTCCCCTTGACTCTAGTGAGTTCCTGTTGGCCCCACTGTCCATGGCCTCGGCCAGCCCCAGGGTCATGTCCCTCTAGTGGACACAGTTGGCAGTGCCTCTTTCCTCCTAGTTTCAGCTAATGTCCCAAGGAAGATGTTCATTGGTCAGGATTGAGTCACATGCTCATCCTGAACCAATCATGGTGGTGAAGCCAGGGTGGAGTGCACTGATTGGTCAGCCAGGGCCCCCCTGCTCGCCTCTGAAGTGGAGGAGGCTGGGTCAGCCCAAGAGAACCGCTGGAGGAGAGAGGCGGGTACCGGGGCTAGCAGGAGGGTGTGGACATGCCCACCACCCTGGCTGGGTGTTCCGCACCCAGGGAAGGCCCGGCTCTGTGTGACCCCACTGAATCTGCTGATCCTTGTCCTCACAAAGCCCACCTTGAGGAGCTGCTGCTGCTCCCAGCCCCAGGAGGGCAGGTGATCACCAGGAGGGTCAGACCCTGGACTGGGCTAGGCCCGAGGCAGGACAGGGAGGCCCTGGGCCGCAATGTCCAGGAACCCCTCGACCACAGACAGGCTTGGCTGGGGAGCAGGGCTGGGGGGAAGGTGGGAGGACCCTCGGCCCATGTTATGGGGAGCCTGGCTGATGTCCTGAGCACCAAGGTCTAGTGGCAGTGCTGGGGTGGATTGCCCACCGACACAGGAGAAGAGCCAAGGGGGCATTGGGAGGTCAGTACCAGAAGGTCCCCAGAGCCCCCAGAACATGGACTGGATCTGATGATGGGCAGCCTGCTTTCAAGCCAGCCACCCCAGGGACCTCCTGCTCCCACCTGAGTCCAGCCAGCTCCACTGGGGGAGCAGAAAGGTGTCTGAGAATTACAAAGCCATGGCCAACAGCCTGTACCAGCCTGGACACAGTCACTCTGGACACACAGGACACTGAGAACATGGACTGGACCTGAGGGGCAGTCCGAGCCCTAAACAGCCCAGACTCACGCCACCACTTTGGGCCCAGACCCAGCCGGGGAGCACCCTCCCTGGGACTGCAGCAGAACAAGGAGAAAAGAGGCCCTCTGCTGGGACCACCAACCTGGGGGACGCGACCCTGGGGCTGGCGGAGCCATGAAGGGTGTGGCTGTGGGGCCGTGGGGAGCAGGGTGTGAACTACCCCTGCTGAGGGCTATGAGGGATGAAGCTAGCAGTGTATGTGACAGTGATCTGTGGACAACCAGCTGTGTGCAGAGATGACTTTTACCTTCCGGGTCCTGCTGTGCTGGCTGTGCTCCCCAGCATTCCATGTCCAGGCCTCTCACACCCCTCTCAAGTAGGGAGGTCCCTTCCTGGATCACCGGATCCCCTGCTCACCCAGTGACTGCTCAGCTGACAGTCCTGCCCCGAGTTGGCCCCATGTGATCGGCCCCTTGGTCTCAGAGTCCTTGTTGATAACACAAGGCCTTTTCATTATTCATCATGCTGTTTTGGGAGCAGAGAAGCCAGGACTAGGTGTATATGTGTCTTGGGCAAGTATCCAGGATCTTGGGACCCAGATCCAGGACACCCGAGTGCTATGGAGTATCCTAGTAGCAAGGACCTCTCCACACAGCACAAGTGGAGACATGGCTACAGCTCCTGCATCTTACCGAGCAGAGCTGGCCTGGTACCACACATGTGCCACGTGACCCATGACCCGTGTAGCAGTAACAGAGGGAACAGCATTTCTCCCAGACCATCCTTGACTCCCCAGCCCCATCCTGGTCATCGGTGCAGAGGTCACCTCTGGGCAGCCAGGGCCATCCCCTGCCTTCCTCCCCTCACATCCCAGGTCCAGACAGGGGAGCCTCTGCCTGGGCTTACATGCACCAGGGTCTTACACGCACACAGAGGACTTCTGCTCTGGCACATCCCAGGACTGGGTTCCCTGCCCGCCACTCGCATTTGAAGCAAAAGTGCTGAGCAGTGTTTCCCCGGACATTTGCAGGAGCCGGCAGGTGAGGAGTGAAGATGCAGGGGCTGGAGCTGGAGTGTGTGCAGGAGCTGGGGGAGCCAGCAGAGACCAGGTGAGGGAGGCTCAGGGCCGGTGCCCTCCAGTGAGGGACAGTGCACTCTAGTGGGGGTGCACTCTAGTGGGGGTGCACTCTGGTGGGGGGAAGTGCACTCCAGTGGGGCCTCCTACCCATGTAAGAGCCAGCATCCTCCTCACATGGATGAACCAGAATAGCACCCCAACCCCCACCCAGGGGACTGCCGGCCCCTAATTGCCATTGAGCAGAGGAGGACGCCTCTCCCTCAAGATCTGTGTCCACCAGCAGACCCTCAGGAGGTTGGCATCCCCAATTCACATCCCCTGTGGGGTCCAAGGCACATAATTTCAGCTCAAGTAGTTTCAGGCTGCCAGGGCCTCTGGGAGAACCCAAGTTCAACCTGACTCCAAGGGCTCCCAGGGTAAAAGTTCAGGACACAGGAAGTCCTAGTAAAAGATCACAATGAACCCAGGCAATAAGGCACCACAAATAAGCCAAAGAACCACAGCCAGCAGAATAAGGCTCATGAATACTCTGCCTCTGGGGTCATCAGGGCAGAATATCTAGTAAGTAGTTATGCTTAGGGGCTTCCCAGGTAGCTCAGTGTAAAGAATCTTTCTGCAATGCAGGAACTTCAGGAGACACAGATTTGATCTCTGGGTCGGGAAGATCCCCTGGAGGAGGCATGGCAACCCACTCCAGTATTCTTGCCTGGAGAATCCCATGGACAGATGAGCCTGGTGGGCTACAGTCCATGGGGTCACAAAGAGTCAGACATGACTAAAGCAACTTAGTAGCAACAGCAGCAGCAGGTATGCTTAAGTGAATAAAAAGCAGACAACATATTTGGATGGCATTACTGACTCAAGGGACATGAGTCTGAGCAAACTCTGGGAGATACTGAAGGACAGGGAAGCCTGGTGTGCTGTGGTCCATGGGGTTGCAAAGAGCCAGACATGACTTAGCAATTGAACAGCAATAACAAAAACATATGGATAAAAGGCATGTGACCGTAAAAAGGGTATCAGCCCAAATTGAAATTGACCAAATAGAATTTCTAGAAATTAAAAACATGATAAATGGAAATAAAACTCAATGGATTAAAAAATAAAATTAAAAGCAAAGATTCAATGGATTTAGTTGCAGTTAGACATCGTTGAAGAAAGAACCAGTAAAGTGGAAGATGGAGCTGCAGAAACTATCTCTAATTCAGCAGAAACAGAACCATGGGAAACATGAAGAGTACATGATTAAGAGCAAAGAAAGTGGCAAGTGTACAGTTAAACCTACTGAGTTAGTAGCTGATCCAAGACACCACATGTTGAGGTGCTGGATGTAGAGCACACAGCTGCTTAACTTTTAAGGGGAAGAGGCAGCCAGGCAAGAGAGGAGACAAAATGAAACGTAGGGAAAGAGAGAAAAGTATCAGGTTTAAGACAAGAATGCTGCGGCAACTCGACAATGCCAAAAGTCACCCTTTGAAGATGGCTGATAAGATAGACAAACTCCGGTCATCCTGATCAGGAAGAAGGAGTCACAATGACCAATGTTAGGAATGGGAACAGGAGACAAAACCACAGATGCTCCACCAATTACATGGGAGATATTATGAATAATTTTATGCTAAGATATCTGTCCACTTGGATGAAGTGGATAGAAAATATGGATAGAAAAATATAACTTAATAAAAGCAAACCAAGAAGAAATAAATAACCTGAATAGTCCTATAAATTTTAGTTAAATCGAATCAGTGGGTAAAAATCTTTCAAAGAAAATCAGTCCTAGATAGTTTCACTACCATGTTTTATCAACATTTAAGAAAGACAGAATTCTAATCTAAAAAACTTCTTTCAGAGTATATAGAAAGAATGTGTTTCTAAGAGTCTATGTAATATATCATATTTTAATGGTAAACTCTTGAAAGTGTTCCCTTTAAGATGAGGAACAAGGTGGAGGTGACCACTGTCACCATTCTAGTCAACACAGTATAAGTCCAAGGAAAGGTTCCTAGGAAGGACAAGGAAAGAAGGAAAAAGCAGGTTACATAGTTAGAATTTTCTTTTTCTCATGTAAATGTAGACATCTCAGGACTGGGGCTGGAGCCCCTTCCTCAGTTTATCTCATTGCACAGTCACCCTCAACACCTGGTTGCTAACTCATAGTCCAGTATTGCTGCCCAAGTGCCAGCCATCATGTTTGTATACCTGCCAAGTGGAGAAATTAAATAAGAAGGAGATATGACTGCTGTCTGCTTGGATGTTACTTGAGAGGCATATCTACCACTTTTACTTCTATCCTGCTGGCCAGCGGACATTATCAGACTCAGCTGTCACCTTGATTCTGGGTGGCCACTAGTGAAGAGAGGTCTTCCCTGTGGCTCAATCGATTAAGAGTCTGCCTGCAACGCAGGAGACCTGGGTTCAATCCCTGGGTCGGGAAGATCCCCTGGAGAAGGAAATGGCAACCTACTCCAGTATTCTTGCCTGGAGAATTCCATGGACAGAGGAGCCTGGTGGGCTATAGTCCATGGGATCACAAAGAGTCGGACACCACTGAGTGACTAACACACACTAGTGGAGAATGAATGGATAATGGGACAGGCACGCAGGAACAGACACTCAGAACTGAGGGGACAGCCCAGACAGTGGGCCAACTGAAGCCTGCCCAAGCCAGGGTCAGAGGTCACCCACTGCTGGGAGCCGTTCCATGCCACTGATACCCTCCAGCTGTGCCCACCCAAGCCTCCAGCCCCTTTGGGGCATGACGGGAGGAGGCGGGGAGGGGTGGCCCTTGGTGTTCCACAATACCTGGAGCGATGTGGGCAGAGGTGATGGGTGCAGAGCTCTGGCTCAGTTTGCATGATGCCGTGTGACCTTGCTCATTTCAATGCCACGAGTGAGAAGATGCTTTGAGCAGCTGTTTTGCTGCCTGCCTGGATCCACATATTGGCAGGAGGACTTTCAGCAATTGTGCAGAGCACGTTGCTTTTGTCATAATTTCAGCAAGTGTATTTTTAGTTTAAAGACTTAGGAGCGACCTGACTGTGCAGCCTCAGAGCGTAAAGATGCTATCAGAGCCGGGACAGAGGTGGCAGGCCCCCCCAGTCCAGACGGCGCCCTGTCGGGAGGGCCAAAGCCCTCATGGGTCACACACTCAGGAATGTTTAGAATGCTTGCCAGATGAAGGACTGGCTGGATCACTGGGGCTGCATTTAGCAGTGGGCGCGGAGGGGCTGTGGGGGCTGCAGGGCCTGCAGCTGAACAGAGGGGACCTGGGGGTGCAAGTGGAAGTGTGGGGTCTGGGGACGGCAGGACCCTGGTTTTCGTTGTCTTATCGTGGACTCCTCTGTCTTCACTGTAGGGTCACCAGGGAAGGCCTCTGTGACAGGGGAGCCTAGACGTGCAACCTTGCAGGTTCCCATCAAGAACGGAGTAGCCAGGAGGATGGGTGGGGTGGGTGGGCATCTGTCAAGGGTGGAGCCAGAGTGATCACCGGGCAATGTGCCCTGGGAGTGGAGGGGTTCTGGGGAGGGAGAGAGCAGAAGTGCTTCCACTGCAGTCTGCAGCCGGCTGCCCCACCCCCATGTGGGACAGGATATTAAACAAGCCTGCAGCCCTCGGGCACTGTCTTCTTCGGGCAGGCCCTGTGGCCCCTCCGCATCCCACACCCACCTTCCATTAGAGCCCACCATGGCAGATGACCTCATCTGTGACCCTCAGCCTCAGAGAGCTTGGTCCCCTGGCCAGTTCAGAGTCTGGAGGATTTGGCCCTGACATCACCCAAAGGCAGCTCGGGGGCACTGGGTGTTTAGGGGGCGAGAGGACTTCACATCGAGAACAGGGTCCACGGCCGACCAGCATAAATAATGTCGTGACATCCTGCCTGCCCTGGCACTGATTAAAGCCAGGTTGCATTTTGTCCCTGCTGGGGCGGGGTGGGGGGTGGTGGTAGTGGGCACACAACTCTCGTCCCCAAGAACAGGCGTCATCAAGTGTGACCCCAACATAAGCTCCCTGGATTCACCACGCTCTCGCTCCTTCTCCCCTCTCCCCTGAGTGGAGGGTGTGTACGGGAGGGGAGCTCCGGCCTCCCTCTGTCCCCTTGGGTGTAAGGAGACCCAGAAGGGCAGAGCGCCGTGTGCGACAGCTGAGAAAGCAGCACTAATGAGGGGGCCCCAGACAAAGATGGCATTCAGTGCCTTCTGGGACGGCAGGTCCCTCCCCACGGCCCGCAGCAGGCAGGCCCAGATTCCTGCACCCAAGCTTGAGTTTAACGAGCAGCTCCCCTGCACGGCCGTCTGGTCCCCTTACCCTCCTGACCCCGTCTTGGCTGGAGTCGCCTGTTCCCACAAGCTGCTGGGGCCCCAGCCTGGCTTCACCCATGGGGCCTCCCGTCTCCGAAAACAGCTCTGCCTCTTCATCTCGTCTTCCTCAAAAACGGGCAAAAACTAACCAAGGGTGGCTTTCTGCAGCTTTGGCAGCCCTAGCCCCGTTTGACACAGTTTAAATGAGCAAAGAGCGTAAAGCGGGTAAAATTGCAATCAGTGTACAAATAAAACACCCTTTCCAGTTCAGTGCATGAAGCATGATAGCATCATGAGTAAACACGTGTGTGCCCTGTACAACTTTAGGGTCAGAAATGAGCAAAGCTGCTGTGGTATCACCCAGGGTGCCCCAGACACTGCAGGTGTCCCCACCTCTCCCCAGACGTTCACCCGATCCCTGTAACAGTTCACGGTTTTTGGAGTTTTGATACTTGAAACACCGGTTGGTCTCAGGTGCGAGCGAGTGCATGAACCGCTGGGATCCTGTCTGGGCCGGGGTGGGGGATGCATTTCTGAGCAGCACCCTGGGGGCAGTGGGGCCATCATCTGGGGGTCTGGGGGGCAGCATCCACTCCAACAGGCTCCGGGGTCATCATCTGGAGTGGGGAGGGAGGCTTGGGGCTGGAGGAGCCAGTGCTGTCTGAGAGGAAGTGGCCGTGTCCGGAGGCAAGGAGCCGGCAGAGACGACGGGGTGCGGTGGGAGATGGGTGTTCTTTTCAGATTGTAAATGATGCTGTTAGAGGTAGAAAACACGGGAAACCTGCAAGAATCTTGGCAGGAGGAGTCACAGTGCAGTCAGCAGCCTGTACTTTGTCTTCGCATTATCTCTGTCCTTCTGAGTCCCCCATGGTAAGCCTACAAGGTGTAAGGAAGTGTTAACACATCCCTGCTGTATTTAAAACCCTGTCTAGGAGTCAGGGTCCCATCTAGGCGGGCGCACTCACAGGGGCCGGACTGGGGCTGTGTCCCCTGAGGGCTCCCAGGGAGGTGGGGGAGAGGATAACAGATGTTTCTCTGAACCCCACTGACATGGGCCCACAGTTGGGGCTCCCCAGTGCGCTCCAGGTGTTAAGAAGCCATGTGAGAGCTGAGGTCCCTGCTGCCCTGAGACCCTGAGGCTGTGGGAACTAAAAACCAGGCCCACCCACCTCTCATCAATCAGCTGCCTCAGATGTCAGGGGTCAGAGGCCAGGCATCAGGGTCTCCCTGGACCCAGTCCCTGTTCCTGGACATCTGGAGACTCCATGTCTTCTGGAGCTGGGAGGAAGGAGGACCTGGTGGGATGAAGTGGGTGCGGCCAGAGCCAGCTCACCAGGCCCTGCTCGGGGGGTCTTGGCTCCGGGCCTGCCCTGAAATGGACCGCCCGCACTTCCGTGTTATTCTGAGATGCATTAGGACTCCATCGGTTTTCCCTGGAAGAACTTGTGATTGGAGGAAAGAAAGTGGGTGAGGGGAGGCAGACACACCTGACCCCCACCCCCACCCCGCCCCCAGACAGTGCCCTCAGCCCCAGTTCAGAGAAGCAGGAGGCTTCCCTGTGCTAACCATGTTCCATCCATGTTCGTGTTGGTCTGGAAAGCAGGCTGCGGCGGGGCCGGCGGGAGGTGAGAGCGCCCGGACCCTCACTCGGGCTGCATGGACCTGCTCCTGGGGGAAACCGGCTGCCCAGCTGGCAGCGGCCTCTCTTCTGACTCACATGTGTATTTATAGCCGAAAAGATACTCTGAGGCCGAGCTCCCAGCTCGGGAGTCAGGAGAAATTAAATCTCTGCACAGCCCTCAGCCCATCTGCCCCTTCTGCTCACCCGGCATCTGATGGCCACTGGTGTGGGCACGTACATAGGCTTCCTGCTCCGGTTCTGGATGCGGGGCATTTGTCCATCACCATCATGAGAAGAGGCCAGTCCCAAAGGGGGCAGGTTGGTGCTTAGACACTGGGGCCTGTACTCAGGGGGACACCAGTAATCCCCTCCACAGAGCCCCCGGGGTGGGAGCCACAGCCACAGCCTCATGCTCTGTGCCAGCCACCTTGTGACTGGTGGGTCTGCGTCTGTCCTGGGGAGGGCAGGCCTGGGTACCCTGGGCAAGGCTGTGAGGGAAGCCAGTGGGGTGACTGGTGGCTGAGGAAGGGCTCCTCTGGGCTCAGCCCCTAAACACGCAGAGTTCCTGCAAACGAAACAGCTGGAGTAGGGGATGACTGGTGTCCCCTGGACTCTGGCACAAGTGTGACCCGAGTCCTGGGTGTCACCCAGCCTGTCAGGCCAGCGAAGTCTCACCTCCTCCCGCACCCCGGGGTCTGGGCAGTTGCAGACAAGGTGCAGAGAGCTGATAGATGAAAGGAAGGCCTGGGACTGCGGGGTCTCAGCAGACACGCAGCCGGGCTGAGAGCGGGTGGGTTTCCTGTCCCAGCCACCCAGGCTCCATGTCCCCTCCAGGGCTCCCCCTCCAGAGAGGCTGGGGCGCACCCCCCAGATGTCCTGCTGCAGAGAAGGAGCTTCTGGAGAGAGCTCCATGCCCCCCTCCACCGCACCCCCAGCCACATGGCCGTTTGCCCTTGAGGCCTGGGGTCAGCCAGGCACCTGCTCCCGCAGGACAGCCCCACGTCCCCCTCCCACGGGGCTCCTCCAAGGCCACCTTGGGTCCTCAGCCTCCCGTCCCCAGTGAGGTGCACACAACCTCTTTGGGAGGGGGCGGTGCTGAGATGACAGATGCCACCTGAAACACCCCCCCCAGGACATGCCTCTCATGTGCCTCTGAACCCCCTTCTGGAAGCCCCCAGGAGAAATTAAAAACCCTAACCTGAAGTCTAAAGGAAATCAACTCTGAATATTCATTGGAATGACTGATGCTGAAGCTGAAGCTCCAATACTTTGGCCACTTGATGTGAAGAACTGACTCATTGGAAAAGACCCTGATCCTGGGAAAGATTGAAGGCAGGAGGAGAAGGGGACAACAGAGAATGGGATGGTTGGGTGGCATCACCGACTCGATGGACATGAGTTTGAGCAAGCCCTGGGAGTTGGTGATGGACAGGGAAGCCTGGTGTGCTGCATCCCATGGGATCGCAGTGTCAGACATGACTGAGCAACTGAAAAACAATAATAAGAAAGCTAAAGTCTGAAAGAAAGGACCAAAGTGCCAGGTTCTTGGGGAATTCTCATCCCGGCTCAGAGATCTGGGTCCTGCCTCCGGGTAGTGGCTCAGCAGGGTCAGAGGTCAGCTGTCAGCAAGTCCAAGAGGGGACCCTGGATTCACACATGCCCCCCAGCAGTGGCTGTGGAGGAGGGTGTCCCTAGAAGCCCAAACTTGGGGGCAGGGACCCTGGCCCAGGCCTGAGGGGAACGAGAGAGGAAAAGTGACCATCTTAGGCCAGTCCTAGCCAGCACCCTGCCAGTCTCCACCTCCTTGTCCCAGTTCAGGACCCACAGAAGTGCTGGCAATGGCTCTGGTCACTGGCCTTACCTGGGGGGAGACTCCACCATGTTCGTCCCCTCCCAGGGCACTTTCCACCTCCTGGAGCCCCTACTCCACCCTGCTTGTGACACAGTCCTTTACCCTCAGGGTCGCTGTACCCACTCCCCTGTGTGCCGTGGGGGTTCCGGGTTCCTTGAGCTGCAGGGAGGGGCCTGGCTACAGGTTCTGGGTCCCTGCCTAGGGACATCTGTCGCCTCCCAGGCCGCTCCCTCTGGTCTGGGAAGCCTGCAGGATGCTCTGCATCCAGGGCCTCTCCTCCCCCATGCCTTTCAGGAGACACTCCCCACCCTGCTCCGTGGAGCTCTGACCTGGGGCTGCACAGAAGATCCTGACCTATGGAGAAGAATTCTCACGGTTTCACCTGCACCCCTCAGAAGGTTAGAACACGCCCATGCTCACCCAGGTGAGCGTCATACCTAGATGTGTACCCGCACGGCTGAGACCACGGCAGCATTAGAACAGAACTAGGAAAGCGGCCTGAGATGGTGCAGTGGCAAGGAATTTCACATGACTCAAGGCCAGAACTATAACGCTGCTGGGACATGTCTGATTTTCTAAAAATCCGAAATTTCTCTCGAGCAAGGTTTAATGAACACGGTTGGAATGTAACTTCAGGCTGGGGAGGCAGAGTTCACCCCAGTCCTAGTAAGGAGCTGCTGGTGGGTTTGAGGGGCTCTCCTCCAGCACCTCCCTCCTTGATGGGGAGGGATTTTGGCCAGCCCTTCGGCTCTTCTCTCCCACAAGAAGTTCATCTCGGGGTTGATACTTGTCCTCCTCTCTCTCTCATATGTAATCATCAACTTTGCTGTTCTCACGAGCCCTTCCCATCTGAAGACGTGAATCTGTGTGACTCAGGGGGAAGGCCTTTCCCTGGGTCTGTTTTTCCTCTGACCCACGTCAGCTGTGTGCCCCCAGCCTGACTCTGTCTCCAGGACTCTCGGCTACCCTGGTTACATTCATCTCTACCCCTGTCTTTTCAGTCCTGGGAGGATTTCTGAACTTCTCTTTGAATTCCTATGTTTGTTTTTCTAGGGGTGTGGGGCAAGTTGCCCTTTGCTTTCAGAGTCAACAAGCCCACCACTCTCTCCAAGACCCTAGCCTACTCTCAGAGCGATTCCTGCCCATGGCCTGGGCACAAGATCCCTTTGAGATGAGTTGGGTGCACAGGTGGGCTATCTGAGTCTAGCGCCCACTTCCTAGAGGGGCTGGGTCAAAGGACTTGGTGGGAGGAGTGGTGGAGTGCCCCCTTGCCCCCTCCCTTCCTGGAGGGGCTGGCTCGAGCAGAGTAGTGTCTGTCTGGGGAGCTGAGATATCAGGTTCTTCAGCCCTGTGGTCAGATGGCCCTGCCACCTGGGGGGACCACCCCCGCCCACCCCGCTTTCCATCAATCCAGCCCCAGGGTGAGGGCAGGAGCTTCCCAGGAGATCCTGTGTCTGAGCCTGGTGGTCAGGATGGAGCCTGGCCCCTCTGGGGGTGACTTCCCCTGGGGATGCCTAACCGGTCGATAACCCTGGGGGCCTCCTCTGACCCACTATGAGCGAGATGGGGTGGTCACCCTCCCTCTATCACTCAGGGCTGTGTATGTATTCTAGAAACTCTGAGTCATTTCTCCCATGGGCAGGCACTTCCTGCTCTCACCAGGGACCGTGTTCGG